GCGAGACTTTCACTGCAGCAACTGTGGCTTGGGCTCTTGGTCTTTGGCTTTCCTCCATCCAAGTACCTAATGGGCATTTTCTAGAGACATCAGCGTTGCTGCTGCTCCTCTCCCCTCCTCAGACCGTAGCTCTCCCAGTTTGCAGACCGAGATGAGTAAAACTAGTATTTGGGAACAGCTCTAACAGCATAAAAAATGGTTGACTAAAATTCCCCTATCACAGTACAGCTGAGCAAGGCTTGCTTTGCTGGGTTTGAAGATCTCTTTTACCTCTTGTGTGAGACGTATTTACTCATTTGGGCATCTCTTGCCTTGAGTTTTGTTGACCTACTTGTTTGTGCAAAGCTATGCCTCTGTGAGGTGTTTGCTCGACGTCTTGAGACAGGTTCCCAGCTGCAGCGAATGGCAGAGACCAATGCATCTGCTTCAGTTCGGGATTCAACATCAAATTTAAAAGCAAATATCCAATGGAAATTTCTCCACCCCCGACTGTAAAGATGAGCACAAACACCCTGCCTTCCTCTGCAGCCTGTTTTTTAAAATCAACCCAAACTTGAATGAGGAGAGTAAACATTGCTGGAATGTGCGTTTCCACTGAGATTAAACATGTATTTGTATGCGGCTTTCCAAAATTAAACTTCCACAGTGGCAACTAGGGAGTTGGGTGCGGAAATGCAATTAGCCATGACTCAGGACTCTTGACGTACAGGTGGGCCAATGAGTTGCGAGTGCTCACGTGGAAACTTGACAAAGTAGCAAGAACAACTTACTGTGTGTTAGCATCAGCAGAGTAAATAACACAAAATGTTAATAATGTTTGGTATTCATTTCCAAGCTGCTCCTTTGGGTGATGTAGACAGAAGTGCACCTGGCAGGTGATGGTAAATTGTTTTTCTTGTGGAATAGTGGTTGTCTTCCCGTTAGTAACATTCATTCCCTTTTCTTGAGTTTTGAGATCCTGAAAGACAGACGCTATATGAAATCTGATATATTATTTTCATATAACGGTCTCCCAGCCATTGTGGTGTCAATAAGCATCACCTATCAACTGGCCATGAAGTAGTTTTTCCATCTAAAAGGTGAATTCATCGAGATCTTAAGAGGCTTGGCTAAGGCCATCAGTGACAAAGCAAGGCTTTCCAATCACCTTTCTCACCCATTCTTTTGATGATCTTAAGGGTCTTTTCCAACCTAAATGATTCTGATTCTATGATTCTCAGTGGCTTGTATCATCCTCATCCTCTGCCTTCCAAAATGTGTTGAACATTTTCTCCCTTGGTAAAATAATCACTTAGAGAAGGTCCTAGAAATAAAATATCCTGCACCTCCTCAGAGCGGTCCCATGCCTGTTCGTGGGTGCGAAAGACTGTGTCTTTCCTTTTTTCATGGCTATCAAGCATTGCAGGGTAATGTTGGCACCCAAGGATGCCAACATAGCAGACGTGTAGGTAAATGAGCAAGAAGGGGTGGGAGAAGCAGCATTCTGTTGGGTTATTAAAGTACTTAAAAAAGGCTTTAACTTTTATTTAGGAGGAGATTGCTAGGTCTTTGTGCCTTTTTCCCTCTGACAGCCAGAGTTTATGCTTCCACCTTTTTTATGTAATTTATATATGCTGTTTGCATTAAACTTGTTCCTTCTAATTTTCTGAAATACTGTTTATCTTGTCTCTGAATCTTTGGAAGATGGAGATATGGCCACCACTGTCTTCTGTGCTAGCAACTGTGTCTTCTGATTCAGAGCTACTGTATACTGAAGCCAATAATGATTCACTCTCACAGCAGTGGTGTGAGCAGTCTCAGCTTTTATATGCCATCTGTGTGAGTGAGCTGAATCTGCAGAAATGGGACCCTGTACACATGGCTTTTCCTCTGTTCATGGATGAAAATATTAAAGCAAACCCGTATGGTCCATGAGATGTTTTCTGTGTCAGGAAGGGAGTAAAACTGCCTGTCAAACCAAGCTGTTCTCTCTGATGAAAGGGGACTGTTTTTAAACACTCCTTTCCATAGTATTTTGCACGCCAGCCGTGTGTGTTTTCTCATCTGACATCTCATTGAGATCCTTGGCTTCGGTACTGCAAGAGGGAAGGGTGTGCTGGGAGGGAAGGAAATAATCTCTCAATATGTACACAAGCACGTATGCACACACATGGTCTTAAATCAATCTTAAATTAATTGAATTTTTTTAGGAATACGAAAGAAAATTAGTCTGGTTGAGCCAGACAGTTGCTTCCCTTTTGTTTGGATTTTCTATTTTCACATGAAGATATCGGGAAGCAATGCTTTGAGCTATTATTAGATACAAAGGTGGAGGCAGAGGGCAAAGGGTTCATTTACAATTCCTACAGCAGAGCATCGAATTTTAAAGCTAAAAGGCAAGTTGATAAGCAGCTTGAAAATAAAGATTCATCCACTTAGCTCACTGAGTATTTCTGAAGGTTTATGCTGGTCTGGGGAGCTAACCGTTCTCACAGCTGTAAGACCTGCTGGCTGGAGGAACCAGAAAAAAAAGGATTTTTTTAAATTTTTTTTTTTAAATGAAAGCACTTACCTTGCAGGGAGAAGCTTGAAAACATAAACTGATATAAAGTAATGAATTGATATAAATGCAGTTCTTTTGAAGGAAGCAACTGGCCTTCACTTCTGTGGCAGGAGGCTGGGAAGCATAAAGATTACACACACACATTTTTGTGTTTTGAAAAATTCAAGTCAGTTAATCCCAGATAATGGGATACCATTATAATCACTACTTCACCTCCATGATCTTATGGCAGTCCTGCAAGAAGCAATTTGATCATGTTGGGCAGGAGAGCCCCTAACGTTAGAGTGTGCTATTGCAAAGACATCCAATGCCAAACATGGCATTGGCCAAACATGGCTAGCCCTTTCCTAAAATGCAGTGGTGATTATAACTTCCTTTCACAGAATCACAGAATGGTTGAGGTCGGCAGGGACCTCTGGAGATCATCTAGTCCAACTCCCCTGCTCAAGCAGGGCCATCTAGAGCCAGTTGCCCAGGATGGCAGAAGTCCAGACTGCTTTTGAATATCTCCAAGGAAGGAGATTCCACAGCCTCTCTGGGCAACCTGTGCCAGCACTCGGTCACCCTCACAGTAAAAAAGTGTTTCCTGATGTTCAGAGCGACCCTCCTGTGTTTCAGTTTGTGCCCATTGCTTCTGGTCCTGTCACTGGGCACCACTGGAAAGAGCCTGGCTCTGTCCTCTTTGCACCCTCCCTTATCATTAATAAGATCCCCCTGAGCCTTCTCTTCTCCAGGCTGAACAGTCCCAGCTCTCTCAGCCTTTCTTCACAGGAGAGATGCTCCAGTCCCATAATCCTCTTCATGGCCCTTCATTGGACTCTCTCCAGTATGTCCATGTCTCTCTTGCACTGAGGAGCCCAGCACTGGACACAGTACTCCAGGTGTGGCCTCACCAGTGCTATCATTGTCAAAAACGGGGCATCTCCTTTGGAAAGGCTAGTTTTGGCATGGGGACTGTTCCAGCTGGGACACCGGCATGGGTTTTGGGTAGCTGCAGCTTGAGCATTGCAGGGTTTCTTTGTGCTCACTCTGCCAAGCCTCTTGTATCTGGGACTTGCTGCTGCATTTGGGCAGCTTTGGGCAAGGAGGGGGTTTCATCTGGGTAGTTCAGCTTTGCTGACCTGACCTCTGGAATCAATGTCCCTTTCTGAACTTGTTTCTTCTTTGGCACTAGTGTTGTTTTTTTTTTTCCAGTTGCTATGCGAAGGCTTGTTCAGTTTGCCCGGCTAAAGGGCATCATGAGAACATGCATCATTTTGTAGTTTTTCATCTAAGGCAACAAAACAAAAATAAGTTTAAAAAAAAAAAAATCACTTTGGTGTAAAATGTTTTTTTCTGTGAAAGCTCCTGAAGCATAAAAATAGTGTCTTTTCTTGAAGAGGGGATATTACTAATGTAAATCCGATGCTGTTGGCAGAGGAATAATATGTGGTATGTCATAAGGCAAGCGACTGAGGAGGAGCTGGAGTGATTGAAATGCCTCATGGGGACAGGTATTCACAGAGGGGATGCTTTCTTACACGTGCCCAGCGCTTTCTCTTATCTCTGAACGTGAACCCATAGTGAAATAGAAATGTTCCTGTATTAATAGTGCATCGGAGATAACCCTCATCTGAAAAATACAGTAATACTGCACAACTGGGAACCCTTTCAGAGCGGGGAATTGGACTAGCAATTTCATAGTGTGTTGGTAATGAAACATTTTGGTTCTGTATAAGCAAATGGGCAAGGTTAGTGGACACATTACTCCGGCTGTCGTTGTCCCAGCAGTAACCAATTTAGAGGCTTTATATTTTCTGCTATCCCAGTAAGGGAAAGAAAAGTAGAAAGTTAAAAATAGAAATCCCAGAATGAATTAAAGCGCAAAGAGTGAACAAGCTCGTAGTACTGCTGTGTAATTTTAAAATCCCTTTTTTCCTTATAATCTGGACTTTAATATATGTATTACATTGCAAATTCTGGCAGTGTCTGTCCTGCTCCAAAAGGTCACCTCCATACAGGAGGATTTATTCTGGCTGTAACATGTGAACAGGGGCATCCAGCCCTGGATCTATCTAGCTACCACTTGTATTGATGATTCCTGTTTGTATTTCCCTTCACCTGATGCTGTTGATTTGTAGGAGAAGCACGAGAAGTTGTCTGTGGCTTTGGCCTGCAAGCAAGGAGGTTAAAAAGATATCTTTGGGTGCCTGTGTATAGATCATAATTGAGTTTTTTCATAGCTTTTTCAACAGCTGTGGACAGATATCAGACCTTCATAAACTGGTTGTTGCAAGTAGTTTCCCTGCAACACTATCCTACACAACACTGCAGCGCTGGGTTTTCTTTCCTGAGGTTAACCGTCATGCACTCTTGGTTTCATTTGGGTTACTTTTTCTTGTTAAGTTTCCTATCAAGATTAATACAGTTTCTAAAGCAGGAGTCCCACATAATGTGGAATTGTTTTCTTGATTTGCAGATATCCTCATTGATGGCAAGCTTTGCGACTGCGATATTGTGGTGGACTGCAAAGTGGGGGACCCCATCCCGCTGGAGGTGAAGCTGACCAACTGGAGCAAACACAGCGTGGGGCCCTTCGCTCTTACCGTGACGCCCTACCAGGATTACCAAAATGGGGTGCACAACTATGAGCTGCAAGATGCTATCACCTTTGTGGGATCCAACACCTTCTACATCGATTCAGTAAGTCTTTCTATCAAAGGGATCATGATTTTGGATAACATGCATTCGCAGAAAAGGGCTTCATTATTCAATTGTGCGTTTTAAGGCAGATTAATTTTTGGAAAGCACCACGATTATGGCAGCTATTGCTAAAGGTGCTGCTAGGTTTGGGGATATAGAATCATCTCTCTGAAATGGTTTAAGACTGTAATTTCCTATCATATAAACCACTAGTAAACTATCAGACACAGTAACTTTTGGTCACTGCAGATCTGACTAAATGTGAACGGGTAACCTAGATAAAATGTTTAATACCATATTGCCAGTCCCTTGAGCCATTCGGTGCAGTCTGCAGTAATAGATTTTAAGTAATTTTTTCTCTTTAGTCCGTAAGAAATATTCCCCATGCTGAGCCAAGGAACTCAGCAAATAAGTTTCAGTCAGGTCCTGAGGAAATGCAACAGACTGCAAAAAGAAAATACTAAACATTAATGACCAATGTGATGAGCTGGTTCATTTCCTTGTCGCTTAGCATACTCTTATAAAGCCATAAAGAAAAATAGAAAGCGTGCTTAAAATGGGACAAAAAAAAATCCCTTTTTAGAATAATTGAGATTTTGTTTTTTCTCTCAAATTCTTCCTTAAAATATTCAAGTCTAGGAGCTTTTTGTTTCTAAGGCAAGACACTGAAAATACAGATAAAACTATTCTTTCCCATACCCTTCCCCTAAAAACAGCAACAAAAAAAACCAGGAACGAAAAACATACGGACAGTACTGCAGAGTGGAATAAGCAGTATTTCTGGTAACTTATAAAATAAACATGAAGAAGAGGGTGAGTGTTTGGGATAGTGCTTAGGACCTTTGCTTAGGTCAGCTCTTCGGATAGCTAATAAAATGTACCTGTCAAAGCTGAATATTTAAGCGAACATTGGTAAGAAGGGAATTAAAGGTTAACCACAGGGATAGTCACCATGCATATTTTTCAATTACGCATCATGGGAAGAAAATATTTCAAAAAGCTAATGAGCATGGAATATACCATCAACTTGAATTTTAATGGGGGCTAACTATATTCTTAGCTGAATAATTTAAATATGCCAACAGAAATAATCAAAAGATGGCTTTCATTGACTCTCTTTCTGACAATGTGGATTTTTTGATCAGAGTGGCAGTGTTTGGATGCCCAGCTGCCGAAGGGCCTGACCCTCCAGGCTAATGAGGAAGAAGGGAGATGTCAGCGTGATGTATTCTTACCTTCTGATTGAGTCTCCTACGGGGCAAAAAGTCAGGAGGTCACATCTCTTGTGCCTGCCCAGGCAGCCTTCTCATATGTTACGGTCCCCGCTTTTGCCCCGTTGTTCAGTATTGTGACATTTCTCCTGTAAACACCATCCCCGATAAGTTAAAAATAGAGTTGTTTTCTGCTATTTGTCCTCCTTTTCATCCAAAAAGGTGAAATGAAGAAAATGTCCACTCTTAGACAAGAAGTGTTAGATTTCACGGTATGTAGTATTGATACTTGTCCTACACAGGCTCCCAGAGAAAATGCTTAGTCATATTTCTTTGAGGCATAGAGCCCTGATCATGGAAGAAAACTCTTCAGACAGTGTATCTAATGCTGTCAGAGGCCCTTTCATCCCCCATAATAACTAATTCAGTCTTGGAAAAAAGATTTCAGAAAGGCACACCTGTTTTGGGGACAAGAAGGAAGTCCTGGTTTGTGCATTTGACGCTTCGGGGAAGAACGAACATACTCAGAATTGTGTTCATGCTCTGAGTTTGGCAGAAACTCAGAGAGATGCTGGTTAAGAAACTGAAGAAGCTCATGGTTGGGTGAGATGAAAGAGAATCAGAGTTTCTTTTTTTTATAAATGAAAGCTGAGACACTGGACCGGATTCCCTGCTGGTGTAACTTAGTGCTGCTCTGTCGAAGCTGTTAAACGTGTGCCCATTATTTTTATGAGCTGAGGTCATGGGCACACGATTATTTTCCTTGTTTAATGGAGGTGGCTTGAGATGCTACCATTTCCCAGCTGCTTGTTTCTGCCCCTCTGCAGGAAGATGCTCTCCTCTTCCCCAGCAGACCCAGCGGGAGAGATGGTGTGAGCATTTGTTTTCCTGCAAAGTTGGCCAGTTTAGCGAAAACTACATTCGTCAGCAGTTTAAGCTAATTGGGCTGACTTTACACTGACACTGACAAAGAGGTGGTGACATGATTTATTGCACTGCTGAGCTGGGTGGGAGGAAGGATGGAGAACTAGCGTATGGTTTGGCGTATCAGTAGTGTATGGTCAAGAACAAGTGGGATCATCAGGTATTACAGCAAGAGAAGATACTTCTCACGCCCTGAAAATTCGGTCTGTTGTCATGCTGATGCAGAAACTACAACATTATTGGTGCTTAGTTGAATGTGATTTCTTTGGGGAAAAAAAACCCCAAACCCAAACCCCTTCTGCTTTCCTAAATGTTAATTTCATACTAAGCCTGATGCTCAGCAAATCACAATTATTTTTGTTTCCAGACTAAAAAGTTTCAAATCAGTTTCTGCTGCTATTTGGAAGACAGGGGATATACACAGGAATTTTCAGCGTGCACATGCTGCTTCGCAGTATGAATATAAATCAGTTAAAGGGTAAAAGTCATACAATTTTGTATTTCTCTTTCTTGCAACTGGAAGTCCAGGTTAGATGATTTATCTTAGAGGTAATGTAATGAGTGCTTATTCACCTTTTTGTGCTCTTACTTCAATTCAATGCAGCAGTCTGGGTTTGTGTCACAAAGTCTGCTGGGATATACTACTTCTAAAAGCAAATGCTCTTACTGAAGATTTTAAAGGATATCAAGATATTTCCATGCATTTTAAATTAAGTAAAATCTTTATTTTTAAGCACAACTTCTAATTTCATTAACCTTACTTTTCTATGACTTTTTCTATTTAGCAGAAAAAGTGACTTCATCAGTTATCAATTAGATAGTAGATATTTTTGTTCAGTATGGGGTTTTGAAACATGAGATAACATGGTGGACCCCCACCTCTTAAAATACATTGCATCATTGAATTATTTTATCTTAATTCACAACCTGAAGTATAGCTTTAGCCATATTAAAAATTCTTAGTTCTTACCAATGTTTTGTTTTGACTAATTAGTTGATCAGAGAGAGTTGCTTCTTGCCAAATTAAAACCAAAAAAATTCTCTTCCATGGAGATTCCTGTAACTACCAGCGATTCATCTTTCCTTGTTGTTCCTGCTTTTGCTGTTACTATTCTCAAGCAGGTTTTTTCCTGCATGTGTTATCATGCACTAGCTCAAGTGATTGGTAGTGGGAGATGAGGAGAAATTCATTAGTAGATGGTCATTTTGAATCAGCTCAGAAGCTATGATGAACATTTGCTCACTTCTGGCAGGTCCTCTGTGGCCCATCTGGAACAAATTAGTTTTCTTGGCACTGTTTTACTCGCACTGTAAACTCTTTGGGGCAGCGAACAGTACCTGGCACTAGCCCTAATCTCCAACTGAGCTCCCTAAGTACTACAGCAGTATGAATAAGTAGTAATTAGTTCAGATGATCAGATGAATCCTTGTGTTGAACAGCTGGCTCAGATGTGGACATCCACTTTACAGACATTTGGGTGGATTCAGCTCCAGACTGAGACATCTGAATGAGTAGGTGTTACCACGGATGCTGGCCAGCTAAGCTCCCATTAGTCAATGGAGATGGAGTTTTCAGCCGGTAGAACCTGGTTTACGCTAACATAGACACCAGGGGTGAGATTCAGTTGCCTAAAAGTAGGTGTCTACCATCATTTAGGTGCTATGGGTATCCTGCCTGGCCTACTGCCAGAAACCCTCCTGTAAATCGTCCTGTAAATCCTGCCAGCCCTGTGCAGATGTCTCAGTGCCTTAGGTCATCCCAAATGTCATGAGGTGCCTGTGTTTAGGCAACTGTATCCTGACTCTATAGGCTGGCCAGGTAGACCATTCTGTGTTTGCTCCACTGGCTGCATTGACTAGACGTCTTCTTACTGTAGTAGGAGCTTGGATACCCTGTGTGCGGAGAGACACCTAAATGTAGGTTGTTTAACCTCAGAATTAGTCCTGTGCCCTGTATACCCGTTGGGTTGGATCTGGCCCTCTACTGACCTGACTGCTGCTGATGTACTTGTGGTCTTCTGGGAATGTTTGTAGGCAGCCCCACTAGAGAGGCAGCCTTACTTGCCATAGTTACTATTTTGGAAGCAGCTTCTTGTAACTTCTGCAGAGCCACTTGCATCTCAACAGTTTCAAAGCTGTTTCAAAGCAAAGGTTTCAAGCTACTTTTGCTTCCCTGTTTCTTCCCCAAACTACAAGTGTTGATTAGAGTGGTGGTTGTACAAGTGGTCATACAGATGTGGATAGTCCCCAAACCATGAACGTTGTTGTCTGGTCTGTGCGTGCTGCACACAGGGAGATGGGCTACAGTCAGAACTGGACACATACCACCACCTGCCTCGCTGGCTCTTCTCGCTTGTGATGAGAAACTGATGACTGTGCAGAGACCTGTGCGTTATGTAAAGGCAGGAGGAATGAGCAACCATGTAGGCATGTAGGCAGAACTTCAAATGAGTGAAAAGACTGTGTTGACGCTGATGTGCCTGAAGCCCCTTTCCTGCTTGTCAAGGGCTCCAGTCAATGTTGTTACAGATATTTCTTCATGGCACAGCTAGATTAGGAAAAATGGATGGGGAGCTTGAAAAAGGTATGGGTCCTGAGGAGGCTTCATTTGCTGTTTGCCTTCACCCGTTGCTTGCATTAGTTCCTGCCTCTGTCCTCCTCTGTATGCAAGTCTGCATCAGTTCCAGTGAGGTGGAAATAAGGCAGGCAGCCCCGGGAGGAAGGGAAGGAAGCAAGAGGGGAGACTGCTTGATGTTGTTCTGCATGTCCAGACGCAATGCTAGAGGGCAAGAACTTGTACCCAGCGAGGAGGGGAGATGCCAAGGACAGGGGTCAGGAGAACAGCTGTGGCTGCTCTGATCACTCACGTGGATGATACGACGCTGATACAAGTTTGCTGAATGTCAGCAAAAGTGCTCAGCACCAAAGCCAAAGGGAGCCTGGGCTCTGCTAGCTCTGGTGATGTTGCTGCTTGTGAACAGCCAGGCCCCTGTGCAGGAGCATCAATTTAGGGAGGTTCAACAAAGAAGTCTGATACCCCAGGGCCTGTACAGGGTACAGGCAGGACTGTATTGGCTAAAGGACCCAGCAATGAAGGTAAAAAACCCCCTAGAATAGGAGAAAACAGAAACAAACAGCTCATTCCCCTCACATCTGAAAGCTACAGAGAACCTTCCTCACTGGAGGTAGTGGCAGGCAATTTTCAGCGCTCTGGCATATTCTTGAGGTGCCCCACACCCCTGGAAACTTTTTCTAGTGGTTCATCTCCCCGCTCTCCCCCACCATGGTCTAGTCATCATCCTTGTTCTGGTCTTCCTATGCAATGGCAAGATGCCCTTCAGCAAAGGGTGTCCATAGATATTTTCCCAGTTAATATCCCATTGTTGATGTCCCAGTTTACTATATGACCACATTTTTTATAGTGGGCAAGAATCCTGATAACCTGTCTCGAGCCTTAGCCTCATCCCTTCGCTGTTCCAGGTAGTAATGTTCCGTTGGTTCCTAGTGATGTCCCTTGCAAATGTTTTCTCTCCCCAAATTCAATCAAGTCCAGCACATCTGGACAGCTCAGTGCTTCTGGATCCAACACCAGAGTTTCTGTTGTGGTTGGGCTTGGGTCTCGGCTTGGCTGACCAGTGCTATGTCGTGCTGTCATTTGGAATTAACGCTGGACTCTGTAACATGATGAACACTGAGGTGTTTGGAGATGACCAAAAAAAGACCCGTTACCAATGAGTATTCAAGTAAAAAAGAGACTATATGGGCAAAGGCCTGCCCATGAAAGTAGGGATGACCCCATGAGTATATCTTCAGTTGATGGTTTCAGGGTCCAGAGAGCAGAAAGGAACTGGTAAGACGGTCTTGGCTGAGGGAAGACCAGTACCGAGGAGCATCAGGTGCCCTTTATTGGGTCTTTTGTGCTGGGATGAAGTTGCCTTTTCACAATTTTTTCAATAAATTCCATCCAATGGAATGGCTTTGTGCTGATTCCATGTTTTGCATCTGCAGCAACTTTAACCCAATTCTAGGCACCCTGAAACTGGATTTAACATCTTGTGGAAGCAGATATTAATTCAAACTTTATCACATGCTGAACAGTCATGGGATTGTTAAAGTTAGAAATTACTTAAGTGTCTTGCTGAAATGATGGACTGAAAGATATTATTTGTTGCAAAGATATGGATCGTAAATGGTTTTGTGATGAAGAAAGATATATAAATGTAGAAACAGTGTGAACTTGGTATTTAATTCGGACAAATCAGAGTGGCTACTTTTCATGGGATGTTTCTTGCTAAACTTAATTATTTCAGTGATAGTGAGTATTAAAGATTCCAGATTAGAATTTGCAGTCAGATGGTGTCTGAATAATCAGTGGGGATGAACTTAGTTATTGCTAAGTTGTTAAATGGTGTTTAACCATGTGTTTAACATGAGTTCAGAGACATGATTTAGACCTTTAATTTAGATGTTGATAAATGCAGTCTAAGGAAACATTTTGGGAGACCTCTGCCTTAAACCAACTCTGTTTTGGAATCAGTGACTCCTGAAGATCTGTATTCTGGTTTGAGCTGTGCCACAGCTTTGCTGCATGAGAGAATAATACAGGATTTAATTTTCAATGCTCCAGTTTTACCATTGCTAGAATAGGGACAAGATCTTTACTCCTTTTTGTGTGAAGGCAACATTGAGATGTGAATCTAGAGTACTTTGAGATCATTTGAAGGAGCTACTGAATTGCAAAGTGCAATTATTTTGTTTTGTTGCTGGTTTAATTATACTGATTATCACGTTCTCTTTTCCAGGTGAAGCCGACCAAAGACTCTGTGTACTTTGGAGCACTTCTCTTTCTCTACACAGGCGATTTCTACCTGAATATCAAATTCCATGAAGACAACTGCAGCAGGGAGCTGCCTCTCTCCTGGTTCTGCCTTCCTAGTGTCCACATCCGTGCTATGGAGCCTATGGTCCAAACTAAGCTGTAAATGTACTGTGTGCTATTTGATTAACTACAGTGCACAGAAATGCTTGGCACATCGTCTGCTTGACCCCCGCTTGTTTCTGTCCAACCCCAGGCCACAGTCCCTACTTTGCAGGAACAGCTGAACACTTTCTGAATTGGCTGATAGTCATACGGGCAGCTGCTTTAGCTAATTTCAGAGAGAGAGAGAGAGAGAGAAATTATAACTATGCTAGAGTTTTCCTCTGTTTCCAAAAAGCCTTTGAAACTGCTAATATATGCATTATACTTTCATATACTCTATTGATATCAGTGGGTTTGAAAAGGTCTTGAGGGCTGAATTTAAGAGGGCTGAATTTAACCATGTGTTTGAAGGTCTCAATTCCCACTTGAATAATCCTGTTTTAGCATTTTTCAACAAGAGTTGTATATCTGTATGACATTCCTCCTGGCTTACACTGGACCCATGGCACGTACCCTTGAGGTGTAGTTCTCTCTTAGATTTGTTCACAGGCTTGTTCTTTTTCACTTGTTTGCTGAGTATTTGGTGTCTTTGGTATTAAATAGCAGTAGTGATGCTTTTTCCTGTGTTACTGAAAGTAAGAATAGCAAATGTGCCTCCAGTTATTCTCTTCCTCCCCTGAGCCCAGTGCCACTTGCTCCTGGTAAAGTCACTGCCTTTAGTTTGGTAGATCTATGAACAAGAAATGAAAGAAGGCAATGAAATGCTAAAGAGTTTTGTCCTTGAGAAAGGAAATAAGCCAACTTTTGGGTTGCTTCGGGCTTGCCTATGAATTTGGGCTTTCACAGTTGTGTTTTATACAATCACAGTCGCTTTAAACGTTTGCAGACACTTAAGGAGTCACCAGAATTAATCAGCTGGTCATTAATATCACTTTGCATGAGTTTTTGCAAACTCTTCTGATCAGATTTTTCATGCTAATAGACTGGGCTTGATTATGTGGTTGTTTTTTTCCTTCTTTTTTTTAGAATGATTAAGTTTAATTATTAGGCAATTAAGGCCATCAAATTCCTGACCATAAAAGTAGTTGATGAATGTACTGAAAATTTAGCCTGTTGTCTTTCAGAATAATGTTTTTGTATAAAGAGACCTGCATTTACCCCATGTAAAGCAGGGAGATGTCTTAGCTGTATGATTAATATATTATTTCATGGACCATATGTTTCAAACCTGTCTCAATCTTTTCTTAAATTTACAGCCTGCAGTTCTTAAACTTGGTGGTAGTATACTTTTGGGGGTGGATACACCAAGATGTGGCAGGGGGGCTCCAGTTAGCTTTATATGTGCTAAATCTACATGCACAACCTCTTTGACAATTTTTTGTTTGTTTAGGCTTCATCCAACTGTGGGCACACTACTTCATGCCTGACCTGGTCCGTCCTGCTCATGCTGTGGAGCACTAGCCCAGATAGCTTATTCTGGCTCTCTGCACCGTGCCCAGTTGTATTTTTAGAAGTGACTGGTGTTTTCCATAGGAATGACAATGCTCAAAACTCAATTCATTGCATGTTTGCAAATGACTGTAATGTATTCATCCTAAATATATTTCTAATCTGAGGGAACTATAGCTATAGCATGATAGTTATATTTCCAGTGTATGCAGGGTATTATCTCTAAAAAACTGTATTGTGGCAATGTTATCAGTGTTTGCTCTTGAGCTGTGGCTCTGTATACAGCTTTGAATGCCAGAGTGGAAGTCTTCAGTCTTAAACTGATGGAAATCTGAGACCGACTGAAGATTGACTTGCAATGGTGTACTGCTCTGTCAGCTGCCAGCACACAATGTCCAGTAAGAAAACTGTTCCTTAGACTTGCATGGTGATTCTGGGCCAGAGACACCCGTGGAAAGAGGGTACAAGCAGCTGAGTTGGGCATGTTTTTTGCGTTAGTGGAGCTCGGTTGACCAGTTTGTGCCATGAAGCGGAATTCTCTGTCACTACATAGGCATATACACAGAAAAGTAGGATCCTGGGAAAGCAGGAATTAAACCAGTTAATCTTCTCCATAAAAGCTTGCTTTTGACATGTGTCTCTGTACTATGTTACACAACACTGTTGCAGTGAAATCCAAGTTGGGTTTTACTCAGTATTCCCAGCAGGTAATCTGCAGGTGCTAGGAATACAGCTAACGCTTTGTAAGGACCACATTGCATTTGAAACAAAAATATTGTGAAACAGATGCTGTTGCAGTCAGGCTGCTTCAGCTTACCCAGCTAAGGGATCATTTCTGAGTTTATTTTTGAGAGCGTTCTCTGAGAGGATATTGTTCTGTGAAGCCTATACTGGGATGCAACACTCCTGTGCCCTTTACTTATAAAGGATCCTGATCCACAGCCTGCTGAAGCTGTTGGAATGGGAACAGGTTTTATTATAACAAAAGCAAGCTGCATATTTCCTAGGTTTCCAATATGCCATTATAAATCTGCCATATGTGCTCATAAATATAAGTTCTTATGTGTGAACAGACCCTTAATGTTCTATCTGTTCATTATATAGTAGACCACTCTGTCCCTTGTCAACTTTGATGCTTAGTTGCTTTTGGCATTTATGGTATCTTTCCCAATTTTCTCACACTTCTACTTGTCTTGGTGAGAGAGATGAAACACAAGAAATTCTTCCTTCTGGGGATCATTTGTGACTTGTCCAGAAGGAGAATATTTAAGTGTCAGCGTAATTTGGAGAGCGGTGAGGGGAAGGTACTTGAAATGAGAATACTGCATCACTGGGATTGCTGTCAGGATTGGTCCTTGCAGTGCTTGAAGAAAGGATGATACTTTTCTGATCCGCTCTCCTTTTCTGGAACCGAAAACTTGTTTTTATTTCCCCGAACTACCCAGCTATTATTTTGAACATGATGAGCCAAACTGTGCATTGTTACACAGATGTAAATCTGATATGATCCCACTTGGTTTAATTAAATCATTCCTAATTTAAATCACCATTGCTGAGAGTAGACGTTGGTCCAATATATGTATGCATTGGAGAAGCATAAGTTGTGTAAATTTAACTGTCTGAATAAATACTTATCTTGTGTTATTTACACCTCTGCCTGTCTCTTCTATCTATAATTCTTGATAGTGTTCTTGTGTGTTTTTACTGGTAATAATAACATATCTCTTGATGCTGCATTCTGTCTCTGAAAGAATGTATTTGACCCTGGAACTGAAATTTCAGCTTCACTCAAACTTTCTCTTCCTAGATGAACTCAGAGCTGATGAAAGATGTATGCTCCATAGTGTGGTTCCTGTGTCAGTGTCCATTAACTGTCAGCTGAGGGGAGGGAGATGCGCTCACGTGAAAGGTTACTTATGCCTCAGTATCCCATTATTGACAGTGAGGGTGGTGAAGCACTGGAATAGGTTGCCCAGAGAGGTGGTGGATGCCCCATCCCTGGAAACATTCAAGGTCAGGCTGGACGGGGCTCTGAGCAACCTGATCTAGTTGAAGATGTCCCTGCTCATTGCAGAGGGGTTGGACTAGATGACCTTCAGAGGTCCCTTCCAACCCAAACCATTCTATGATTCTATGATTCTGTGATCCTATGATTCTATGATCCTTTCCATCCTCTATGGAAACAGCTCAAAGGCTGGAAGGAGGACCACTTATGGAGGTGGTATATCTGGGAAGACTGACTGGAAGCATTTGTTTTGTGTGCACCATCTAATGTCCAGCCTTGTTTGAGCTCCTTCTGTCAAACAGTCCTGAGGCTCCTGTGTTTGGGTTCCCGATCTAGAAGCTCTTAAGCTTTCCTTAGTGAGACCCAGCTGCACTCTCCCTTTCTTGGATCATCTGGCTCCCTTCCTGGGTGTGGGCACTTTGTCTCTCACTGAAGTGGGACTATGCATCCATCCTACTTGCACTACACACACTAGAACAGTGCTGTCTGCCAACTCCCCGGGATGTTATTCGTGCCTTCTAGAGCTCTGGGCTTGCAATTCAGCTGTTTGGGCACAGATGGGATTTGAAGGTTTTCCTACAGGTACATGCTTTACAGAGGCTTATAAACACTAATGCTCTTTCCTTAATACAGAAGACACGCAGGTCTGGACAATTTTCATGTCCAGTGTTCAATGATACATGTTTACTTCTGCAGGTTAGACCATTCTGGGGCTTAGGTCAAGGTCCTTGGGTTGTCCAGCATCTTTTTAGCTCTTGGTTTCTCATTTCTCTCTTTCGCACCTCATCCTTCCCACCAGCTCTTCCACTCCCTGCTTTTCTGCTTTTCTTTGGTTGGTCCCAACAGAAAGGATCAACATGTCCCTTTCTTTTTCTCCCTCCTTCCTCTGCATCTCCATCAGAGCCCTCCTAACACTTTGGTCATCTACTGGGGAAAAAAATTGCTTCAAACCTAATTTCAGTTGTTAAACTGGAGTTTGGCTCTCATATCCTCTCTTAAAAGCATCTTGAGATATTTCAGTTGAACAGGACCTTGTCTATTCTATTACTATCTGGTGTTGCTTGTTGGAGTGATACTTAGGCTACTACATTCATGATGCATCAATTCCATGACACCAATGGGACTTGTGCTGTATGTAGATGACATGTCATTTAATATATATTGATTACTTATTGTCCCTGTGTCCTGGTTCAGCAACATATCTAAGCATGTGCCTAATGTTAAGCACATTAATAGACCCACTAATTACAGCTAATTCAGTCACACATCTGCCCGGGGAACTTGCTAAACCTGTGGCCAGATGCACAATCTGCTTCTGAGCCCGCGAATTTGAGATTGAGGCCCCTGTCCCATTACGTTGCATGGGCCATCACCAGTGGCTCCCAGGAACCCTGGTACAAGGAAAATACATCTCATCAAAATCTGGCACTGTCATTTTAATACGTGAGGTATAGATACATACAAGTCTGGGAGTGCAGAAGATCCTTCCAGGCCAGTATGTGCTCAGTGTATATCTATACCAACCACAGTAATGAACCTTGAAGGCATAAATCATATGCATAGACTTCCTTGGGAAATCATGTTATACCCAAAGGCTGTGCCCAGTAGCTGCGTACGAGGCGAGACAGTGCTCAACCACCTCCTGCTTGCAGCTGATCTTCCAAGTGTTCCTCTTCCAAGGGCTGGTACCAGCACAGTCTGTGCTGACGTCCTCTCAGCCT